ATTAATCTTTTTCTTTCTCTTATCATTTAAATTTTTATACTTACTTCAATATTATTATTTGTTAAGTTGTTATAGAATTTTTTTAATTTGAATTGATATAAATTTAAATCAACACAATTTTGTGTTTTTATTATTTTTTGAAGTATTATTTCAAATAATTTATTTTTATAATTATCTAATTAATTTATATTATTATGAGATACTTTTTTGTTATTAATGTCACTCATTTCCAACAATAAAATTTAAAATAAATTAACAATTAAGAGTTTCAAGATAAAAATAAAAAATAAGAAATGAATTACAAAAACTTATTTAAGACCTCTTAATTTGACTCCTAAAATACGTTCTAATTTAGCTAATACTTGTTGGCTTGGGATTGCTTTACCACTTTCATAATCAGCAATTGTTTGAGGTTTTTCATTTATTTTTTGAGCCAATTCTTTTTGGGTCAAATGATTTTCTTGACGAGCTCGTTGGATTTCTAATGAAACTTTATGGCTAACTTGTTTATGAACTAATGGAGTTTCTCCTTCATCAGCTTTTCTTTCAATGCTTCTAATATCTGAACCACTTGCAGTTGAATTCATACCAGCAGTTGGTTTCTTTACTGGTCTAGTTACACCCTTTTGACTTTGGGCTTTGCCGATGTAGATATCTTTTGTATCAACACTACAGTCGAATGCCATCCTTTAAAATGAATGAATAATACTTAAACAAGATGGTACTTTATATACGTCTGTTTGAAGTTTGATTAACTGGCAACACGTAATGACAGTATTTTTTATAAGTTATATTTTATTTTTTATTATAGTTCTTCCTTCATAACTAATAAATAGTTAATCGTTTTTATTAAATCATATACAAGATTTCTTTTTCCTTAAAAAACAAAGATAAGTAGTTCAAATTATTCAATCATTCTTAAAAATTTTCTGTGGTTCAGTTTCTTCATCTTCAATATTGATAAATCGTTGTTTAGGGGAAATATTTTTACGTAAGGTTTCATAAAGAATTCCTTCATTTTTAAAACTGTTATTAGCTCCGTCAGTGTGAATATTAATTTTTTGATTTTTGTTAACAAAAACCAACTGGTCGTCTGAGTTATAAATAATATAATCATCTTTGGTGAACTTTCCTCCTTTAATAATACATTCTCTTTGTTCTATTTGCATTTCTCCTAAATTACTACCAATAATAGGAATTTTTATTATACAATAATTTTTGTTTTCAATACCAACAAGAATATGAAGTTCTTCATTCATAACTGCAACATCATAAATAATTACAACATCATTCTTATCAAATTGTTTCATTTTTATTTCTTCTCCATTTTCTATTTTATAAATTCTCATTGTTCCATCACAACTTCCACAAACAACAATTGGAATATTATTAATTTCTTCACATTTACATGAAGTAACAAGTTCAACAAATCCATAACAAAAACTTTGTATAATATCAGTTCTTGGGTATCGAGTTACACGAACTTTTTCGTCTCTGTCACAAGTAATAATAGCATTTTTCTTCTTTGTTATTTCAATTTGATTAATAACACTAAAATGAGCCAAAATAATGTTTTGTGCAATTGTGTCTTTCAATTTATTAATATCTTCTGTTGCTAATGGTATTTCATCAATTTTAAATTTATAAACATCTCCAAACTTATCAGACACCAATATCTGATTATCTATTTCACAAACAGAAGTTGGTTTCTTTGTTAATAATAGATGATGTGTTAACACTTTGTCATTATATATGTTTACTGTTTTATCGTCACATAAAACAACAACCATTTTATTACTAAGCTCTAAAGCATCAATTACAAGTGAGTTACAAGTAATACATCCTTTATATTCGATGTTTTGTGAATAAATTTGTACAGTGTTCTTGTATAATGCTAATAGCACACTCTTATCTTCGTTGAATTTAAGCATAATCTTTTATATTTTTAAGTTCATCATTAAGATATAAGAAAAAAAATATAAGAGGGTTTTATTTTTTTTTTGATTATTTTTTATTGTTCATTTGTCTTGATGAAGATTTATTCATGAAAATAACTTTTTGTTTATTTAGCCTTTTCTTTAAAAGAAAAAGATTGATTAAGTAATATGAATATATTTTTTTGTATCTCTTTTAGTAATTCTTTAAGTTTTGTGTTTGTTTCAAAGCATTAGAAAAACCAAATGTCATTTAGTTTTTTAAATAATAAATATGTTACTGCTATGTAATAACATATTATTTAAATTATTAAATCTTATAAATGGTGTATCATAAATCTTTTTCTTTTACATTATTTATTTCTAACTTTTATTGCATTGTTTCATATACTCATATAATAATTTTTTTTAAACAGTCACATCAACTTGTTGTATTGTTAGAGGATTAATGGTTTGATATAAAATTAAATCATATTAGAAACCTATTACCCTTCAGTACATTAGTTTTTGTATAAAAGTTTCATCATTTAAATAATTACGTAATATACTACTTTTTTTAATAAGTCATTTGTTGTATTATAGTTATTTTAATTAAACAATCTTACAATATTTTTTTGTAATACTTGGTATTTGTGCATAGTTTATATTTTTATGGATATTCTCTTATTAAATTTGAATGATATTATTTATGGCTAAATTTTAAGTATCATTCTTTTTTATATGAGAAAATACCAAGGAAATTTGTTTTCAATACATAATGAGAAGAGGGTTTATTGTATGGGTATTCTAGCAGTCTTTGTTATTTTTATGTATTTATATCACTTAATTTAATATCTAATACCTTTCCATTTTTTTGGTTTTGTACTTTGTTTCAATACATCTTCACTATCTCAGTAAAAATGCAAGCAATTATTATAGAATAATATCTTTTTAATATTTTTTATGGGATTTATTTGAATTATTCTTTTCAAATAAAATTCAATTTATTTTACATCAAACTATTATTTTTTTAATTTAAAAACTAACTTTTTAGAGTAAATAGTAAAGCATGTCATATGAAAAAGGTTCATCCTATTTCTTTAATAGAATTTTAGCGATTAGTCTTGGTTAAATGAAAAGAATATAAACTTTTACAAAAGTAAAAAAGAATTAAGTGGTTTATTCAAAAGTATTAAATTAGAATTATCTTATAAATTCTTAACATGTGTTTGATGTTTTTATACTTTAAGGGAAAGTAATGAAAACTCCTTATTTGAAGTAATTCAAGTTATGTCTTTTCTAAACAAGTCAAATATTTTTTAATTAAACACTTTATACACAAGTAACCAAAAAGAAATTTAATAAAATTCCAAACAAAATGAGTGACATTCAATTCTCATTAAATTATATAAAATGTAGGATAACAATTAAACGAAATGTACCAAATCAGTTTTATATGACTGAAGTATTAAATAATAGACTTTGTCTTAAAAAAAGTAACAATGTTTTACATATTAGTTATTTTACCCAATTCAGTAAATGATAAAATAACTCAAATATTTATAAATGGATGAAACCAAAAAGAAGAAACGTAAAAGTTAGAATAAAATCGACTCTTGAAGCAAACTTTAAGATTAAAAGTTGTTTTGGTATTTATACAATCACACGACTACAACAAACGAAATATAAAATGATATTAATAACAAGCCATAATTTTATAGTACCCAGTGGCACTTTAATTTATGTTAAAACTACTCAATTAAGTGAATTAAAGAAAATAGGAATTTAAAATGAAATGCCTAAATATCGTTCTTTTTCTGAAGTAGGAGATTTCTATATTGAGTTTTGTTGATAAAAATCTTTATGTTTTAATTTTCTTGTCAGGAAAAATAAACTTAAAATTATAACTTTAAACCTATGAGTCAATGGTATACTTCTATCAATATTTGGTGTACACTAATTTCTTGTTTCGTCTGTGGAGGGCTTTTGATTGGACTTTCCGTAATGTCTTACCATTATACTGAATTTGTTGAAGGGTCTTTAATTTGGATTCAAATAACTTCAATCAGTGGGTTTTCTTGTGGAGTCACTTACCTTATATTAGGCCTTGGAAGTGTTTTATTATTTATTCTTGCATTTAACATCATTGGACAATGTTTGTCTTGTTTGTTTTGTTGCTGTTCTTGTGGGGGTTGTTTGTCATTTTTTATATTATCAATAGTTATATTATCCTGTGGTCTTAATGAAAACTCTCTGGCTAATTTATCTCCAGAAGCAATTGCAGCTATAGAACAAGACGTTTGTTTTTATGTTTTTATTAAATAAGCTCAAATGATATATTTATTGAATATTAGTTTAATTGTTGTGCTTACTCAAACAACTACACGTCTTGTCAAACAGCCTCTTATGATGAAGATTCATTTTCATTGTCATATGAAGGAGATTGTGATGATTCGTATTTACATTACGTCTTAAAGCAATATAAAACAATTGGGTCAGTTATGCTAATTTCCTCTTTTTCATGTCTTTTTTACGTAGCAACAAATCTACAAGGAACGCTTAGAATGAATGAAGGAAAAAGAGACAACTATTTACTAATTCATTAAATGATAAGAGAAAGAAAAAGATTAAT